GCACCAGACATCCCGACCCCGCGCTCTTACGCAGAGGCGATAGAGGGTCCCTACTCCTCTCAGTGGCAGTCAGCCATGGACGCAAAGATGGCTTCCTGGAAGTCCACAGGCACCTACGTCGACGAGGTTCCCCCGCTTGGGGCGAACATCGTCAGTGGCATGTGGATTTTCAGGGTGAAGCGGCCGCCGGGTTCTCCGCCTGTCTTCAAGGCGCGTTACGTTGCACGAGGCTTTAGTCAGCGAGAGGGAGTTGACTTCTTCCAGACCTTCTCCCCTACCCCGAAGATGACCACTCTTCGGGTTCTGCTGCACGTCGCCGCTCAGCGTGACTACGAGCTTCACTCTCTTGACTTCAGCACTGCTTTCCTATAGGGCAGCCTGCACGAGGAGATCTGGCTGCGCCGCCCACCTGGCTTTACTGGGTCGTTTCCTCCTGGCACCCAGTGGAGCCTCTGGCGGCCAGTCTACGGTCTCCGCCAGGCACCCCGTGAGTGGCACGACACACTGAGGACTACTCTTGCTGCTCTTGGGTTTGCTCCTTCTACTGCTGACCCGTCGCTGTTTCTACGCACCGACACCACTCTGCCTCCGTTCTACGTTCTCGTGTACGTAGACGACTTGGTCTTTGCTACTGCTGACACTGAGGCACTCGCCCACGTGAAGTCGGAGCTGTAGAAGAGACACACGTGCACAGACCTAGGTGAGCTGACAAGCTATCTTGGCTTGCGGATCACCTGGGACAGAGCACAGCGCACCATTACCCTGACTCAGTCACACATGGTGCAGCAGGTCCTTCAGCGCTTCCGCTTCACGTACTCCTCGCCTCAGTCCACTCCTCTGCCTACCGGTCATGTCAGAATGTTATCTTATGCTCTAGCCTGTAGTGGGGTGCTCTATAGCGAGTACAACCCTTCTAGGGTTTGCTATTTGTATCCTCATTCTTGCTAGTGCAACCCCTTCTTCTTCTTTTTCTCTCTTCTTTCTTCTAAACTTTAACATGGTATCAGAGCAGGTCGATCCCCTTGGATCGATCCTGTGGGTGGGCTCACCACCTTGTTGCTTCCGCTGCAACTGCTACTGCTACTCTCTGTGCCGCACGCTTCGTGGCGTGCGGCAGTTTTTCTTCCCGCCGTGCGCCCCGAGGCGCGCGGCGGTTTTCTGCCCGCCGTGCGCCCCGAGGCGCGCGGCGGTTTCCTGCCCGCCGCGCGCCCCGAGGCGCGCGGCGGGTCGCGCGACCCCTACAGCCCCGTCGCGCCGCCCAGGGGAGCCGCGCGCGACCCCTGCAGCCCCGTCGCGCCGCCCAGGGGAGCCGCGCGCGGCCCCTGCAGCCCCGTCGCGCCGCCCAGGGGAGCCGCACGCGGCCCCTGCAGCCCCGTCGCGCTGCCCAGGGGAGCCGCGCGCGACCCCTGCAGCCCCGTCGCGCCGCCCAGGGGAGCCGCGCGCGGCCCCTGCAGCCCCGTCGCGCCGCCCACAGGAGCCGCGCGCGGCCCCTGCAGCCCCGTCGCGCCGCCCAGGGGAGCCGCGCGCGGCCCCTGCTGCCCCGTCGCGCGGCCCTGCTGCCCCGTCGCGCTGCCCAGGGGAGCCGTGCGCGGCCCCTGCTGCCCCGCCCCGTCCCCGACCTGCCCCGGCCCCGACCTGCCCCGGCCCAACTCCCGTCGCCCGTCGCGGCGCCCTGGGGGGGGCCGCAAGCGGCCCCCCCCCAGGGTCGCCTCGACAGGCGACGGGAGGGGAGTCTACCGGGGACCGCGCGTTGCCCCCCCCCCCCCCCCCCCCCCCCCCCCCCCCCCCCCCCCCCCCCCCCTACCTCCCTACCCTGTTTTTAGGGTTTGGGGGGTAGTGGTTGGGGGGTGGCGGTTGGGGGGTGGCGGTTGGGGGGTGGCAGGTGTGTGCATTCCTCCCCTTGCTCCTCCTCCTCCTTCGTCTCCCACTGCTGCAGCTGTCGCTGAGGGGGGTGGTTGTGTGGGAGACTGGGGTTTAGGGTTTAAGGGGGGTGCGTGGGAGTGGAGCTAGCGGTGTAGCAGCGGGTGTGTGCCAGGGGGGAGTGGGATAGTTTGGGGAAGCTGCACGGAGGTTGCCGTCGTGTCGCCAGCAGCACCTGTAGTCCGGGGACTTCGTCCGGTAGCCCAGTCGTAGACTTCTACGCCAGCCGCCCGTGGGTCCGTTGCTCGTCTGCCGCTACTTTAGCCGCGGGGCCTGTTACTCCTGTAGTCCGGGCGCTTAGTCCGGTAGCCGCTGTGCCAGTCTGCCTCCTGTTGCCCGTGTGTCTGCAGCTTCAGCCGTCGCCTCCTATCTCCTCTCCCCTCACTCTCTCTCCTCCTCCTCGCTTGCCCGTTGTGACTACCACTAGCTTTGCTCATAATTGTACCTTTTAAACTATTCCTTCTTGAACTTGTGCTCAGAATGTGTGGTGACATTGTGATCCACCCTGAGCTTGTACTGCTTTTCTTGCTCTGCTGATTACACCCCACTTTGGCTATGGGGGTGTGTCAGAATGTTATCTTATGCTCTAGCCTGTAGTGGGGTGCTCTATAGCGAGTACAACCCTTCTAGGGTTTGCTATTTGTATCCTCATTCTTGCTAGTGCAACCCCTTCTTCTTCTTTTTCTCTCTTCTTTCTTCTAAACTTTAACAGGTCACTCGCTCTCAGCTCCACCTTCAGACGAGTCCGTAGAGCCGAGTGGCCCGTACCCAGAGCTTGTGGGCTGCCTCATGTACCTGATGACCTGCACTCGACCTGACCTTGCATACCCTCTTAGCATCCTAGCACGCTATGTCGCTCCTGGCCGTCACCGGAAGGAGCACATGGATGCCGCTAAGAGGGTGTTGCGCTACTTGTGCAGTACGTCGGGCATGGGGCTTGTGCTTGGAGGACGGGCTCGAGTTGTCCTCACTGGTCACGCTGACGCTTCTTGGGCTGACGACTTGACTACGCAGCGGTCGTCACAGGGTTACACCTTCAGCCTTGGCTCCGGCTCTGTTTCTTGGCGGTCTACCCGCTCGTCTTCTGTTCTCAGCTCCAGTTGTGAGGCTGAGATCTACGCAGGGGCCATGGCTGCACATGAGTTACGCTGGCTCACCTACCTGCTGACTGACCTTGGGGAGCCGCCTCGTTCTCCTCCAGTTCTGTATGTCGACAGCAAGGCCGTGATTGCCTTGTGTCAGGAGCACAGACTGGAGCCTAGAACGAAGCACATCGCTCTGCGCTACTTCCTTGCTCAAGAGTTGCAGCAGCGTGGTCAGCTTCGTCTTGCTTACGTGGCCACTCGGGCCAACAGTGCTGATGTGTTCACCAAGGCACTTCAGCCTTGTGATCATCAGCGTTTCTGTACTGTTCTAGGCCTTGTGCCTTCTGTGCCTCACTTGCTTACTTCTTGACTCTGCTTATACTGTGATCTCTATATATATATACTTGCATGCTTACACTTGCTAGGTTGTGATCACTGTACCTCTTGTTATATTATCAAACGGGTCTTGTGACCGCTTGCTTGTGCTCGGAATTTGTGTGGTTTCCTTGAGATCCACCCTGAGCTTGTTTTGCTTTGCTTTGCTTTGACTGGTCTTGTGACCATCTGGTTGTCTCCCACTTCGCCTATGGGGGTGTGTCAAACATCATACATGTTTATATTGTGTAGGCTATAGTGGGTTTAGCCTTAGAGATTACAACAATGCTAGGGTTTCTTATTTGTATCACCCTGCTGCCTAGTTCAATTCATTCTCGTTCACTGCTAGTTTCTAACACTGCCTGCAGTACATGTGTCTTGCAATACACCAATCACAACTTCCGCAGCTGCTTGAGGCTGCTGATTGCCTCTGGAATGGAGCCTGGAAAGTCGTTGTAAGAGACATGGATATACCTGGCGCATGGAGAGTGTTGAGCAGAAGCAGGGAGGAGGGAAGCAAGGAGAGGAGAGGATAATCATTGGAGAGGGAAGGCCGGAAGGGAATGGATGGGTAAGCGGTGAGAAGCGAAGGGGGGAGATGAAAGGGAATTGAAGAAGCTGTTGGGAGCAGTGCAGAGAAGTGTACTAAACACTCAAAGGTGAGTTAAGACGTGACAAGCACAAGCAGTATATGGATGGCCGATGTTGCATGGTTGATGTTGCATGGCAGGTGGTGCATGGCAGGTGGTGCATGGCAGGTGGTGCATGGCAGGTGGTGCATGGCAGATGGTGCATGGCAGCACGCACAGTAAAGTCAAGTCTGTGAGGCTGAAAATCCACGCAGGCAGCTCCCCAGACAGATGACGATGAGCCACCAAGTGCCTGATGATGCAAGCAGTGAAGAGGCAAGGAGCAGTCAAGAGGGAAGGAGCAGGGAAAATGGGTAGGAGAGCGACAACGGGGAAGACAAAAATAAACACCGAGGAGAAAACAACAAGGGAGAGAGCACGGAAGGAGGAGGGAACATGGCAGAGCCATGTGAAGGGAGCATGTGAACTTTCCCTTTCATGCTGCGGCGTCGTGCACAATGCCTTACATGCCCTTCAGGCTTCGCTCATCCGGTAGGGTGCCATCACATGCCATCACATGCCATCACATGCCGTCACATGCCATCACATGCCATCACATGCCCCTCACCCGGCCTTACAGAGACTGCAGCTTCTGCAGCTGGGAGAGCTGCTCTGGTAGTGACTCCAGTAGATAGCTCGCCTCGTAATGCCTGCTTGCAACACGCATGCACCAGGCGTGCACCATGCACCGCACCATGCATGCACCATGTACGCACCATGGGGGGTTTATGTTTTAGGGATTCTGGTTGAAAGCTGACCCAGAAATATTTGTCGGTGATAACCGATTTCTGATTAAAGCCGACCCAAAAAAAACAAGGACAGTTGACCAGGGGCTGTTAACAAGAGTATGAAGAAAAGAAACGAGTAGCAGACAATGCAGTTGAGAGTAAAGAGATCATGGAAATGGGCTGTGAGGGGCCAAATGGGGTGTGAGGGGCCAGATGGACATGGAGTCGACTCAAATTCCGGTGGAGGATCAACGCTGTAAGCCTCATCTTGCTCCATCCTTCCTCATGCCCCCTCTCATCCTCTCATCCTGGAATTGGCATACCCACCCACCCACTCCAACCCCCCCACCTGCTGCATCCCCCCCCCCCCCCCCGCCCAAGTGCACTGAAAGGCGGGTGAGCTGCTGCAGATTTCCCAGTTCATTCGGAATGGAAGCTTTGAGAGTCCCGTGAGAGGCGGTGCTGCTGCATTGATGGGGCCGTGGCAGGCAGGCATGGGGGAGAGGGTAGAGAGGGGGGCCGGCAGGGAGGGGAGGCGGCAGAGAGGGGAGGCGTCAGGGAGGGGAGACGGTGAAGTCAGGGAGGGGAAAAGGCAGATAGAGGAGAACGAGGGAGGAGGGCAGCAGACGAAGCGGTGGGAGATAGGAGAGTACCCGATTGAGCGAATAGGAAGGGGTGTGGTAGGCATGCAGTTGGGCATGCAGTTGGGCATGCAGATGGGTGGGCATGCACATGCAGGTAGAAAAGAGGGCGGCTGATGCAAAACAGATGGGCCTCAGTACTGTGACAGCCCGTGATATAAAGAAGAGGGAGGTGAACGAGAGAAGAGAGAGGTACATGAGAAAAGATATTGAACTGACAGGCCAGTCGGAAAAGAGATTCTTACAGTGCGATGACATGCTTACAGTGCAATGACATGCTTACAGTGCAATGACATTCTTACAGTGCAATGACATGCTTACAGTGCAATGTTATTCTTACAGTGCAATGACATGCTTACAATGCAATGACATGCTTACAGTGCAATGACATGCTTATAGTGCAATGACATGCTTACAGTGCAAGGACATGCTTACAGTGCGATGACATGCTTACAGTGCGATGACATGCTTACAGTGCAATGACATGCTTACAGTGCGATGACATGCTTACAGTGCGATGACATGCTTACAGTGCGATGACATGCTTATAGTGCGATGACATGCTTACAGTGCGATGACATGCTTACATTGCGATGACATGCTTACAGTGCAATGACATGCTTACACTGCGATGACATGCTTACAGTGCAATGACATTCTTACAGTGCTATGACATGCTTACAATGCAATGACATGCTTATAGTGCAATGACATGCTTTCAGTGCAATGACGTGCTTACAGTGCAATGACATGCTTACAGTGCAATGACATGCTTACAGTGCAATGACGTGCTTATAGGCAATGACATGCTTACAGCGAAATGACATGCTTACAGTGCAATGACATGCTTACAGTGCAATGACATGCTTACAGTGCAATGATATGCTTATAGTGTAATGACATGCTTATAGTGCAATGACATGCTTACACTGCAATGACATGCTTACAGTGTAATGACATGCTTACAGTGCAATGACATGCTTACAGTGCAATGACATGCTTACAGTGCAATGACATGCTTACAGTGCAATGACATGCTTACAGTGCAATGACATGCTTACAGTGCAATGACATGCTTACACTGCAATGACATGCTTACAATGCAATGACATGCTTACAGTGCAATGACATGCTTACAGTGCAATGACATGCTTACAGTGCAATGACATGCTTACAGTGAAATGACATGCTTACAGTGCAATGACATGCTTACAGTGCAATGACATGCTTACAGTGACTTGCTTACAGTGCAATGACGTGCTTACAGTGCAATGACATGCTTACAGTGCAATGACATGCTTAGAGTGCAATGACATGCTTACAGTGCAATGACATGCTTACAGTGCAATGACATGCTTACAGTGACTTGCTTACAGTGCAATGACGTGCTTACAGTGCAATGACATGCTTACAGTGCAATGACATGCTTACAGTGCAATGACGTGCTTACAGTGCAATGACGTGCGTACAGTGAAATGACATGCTTACAGTGTAATGACATGCTTACAGTGCAATGACATGCTTACAGTGCAGTGACATGCTTACAGTGTAATGACATGCTTACAATGCAATGACATGCTTACAGTGCAATGACATGCTTACAGTGCAATGACATGCTTACACTGCAATGACATGCTTACAGTGCAATGACATGCTTACACTGCAATGACATGCTTACAGTGCAATGACTTGCTTACAGTGCAATGACGTGCTTACAGTGCAATGACATGCTTACAGTGCAATGACTTGCTTATAGTGCAATGACGTGCTTACAGTGCAATGACATGCTTACAGTGCAATGACATGCTTACAGTGCAATGACGTGCTTACAGTGCAATGACGTGCTTACAGTGAAATGACATGCTTACAGTGCAATGACATGCTTATAGTGCAATGACGTGCTTACAGTGCAGTGACATGCTTACAGTGTAATGACATGCTTACAGTGCAATGACATGCTTACACTGCAATGACATGCTTACAGTGTAATGACATGCTTACAGTGCAATGACATGCTTACAGTGCAATGACATGCTTACAGTGCAATGACATGCTTACAGTGCAATGACATGCTTACATTGCAATGACATGCCCATCGTCATCACAGCGCACGGCATCCATGCTGTGGCAATCTTCGCCCCGGCTCCATGTGCTCCTATCCTCTAAGTCGTCCCATTTTTGTGGTAGATTCTCCAAAACTTCCACTGCCATCCATCCATACCACCCAAGGCAGCATGTTGTGTCTCGGAACGTGTTGGAAACTATGATTTCCAAGGGAGAGGGAAGAGGGACTGAGGTGGGGATGGCAGGAGGGGCAGCTGCAACCTGTAGTGAGTTCAACATGATGGTGCAAGCTGCAAACACGGATTACTCTCAGCGTGCAGTGCAGCACTGCTTACTCTTGGCTTAATGGCTTACTCTCGGCGTCCACCATGGGAGCAGCGCGTGCGAGGGGCATGCAGCAGCGCACCACCACCAGCGCCACCACCGCCGCTCTCGCCACCATCTTAACGTCGCCGCGCCTCCTCGGGAGACACATCGCGGCGCCCCAACCGTTGGGCCCCATCGATGGTCACCGCGCGCGCGCTGCCTGTCGCGTTCTTTGCCGTCGCCAATGCCCACTGGGCATGAGCCCGCCGGGGAATGTCAAGTGACGGTCCTGCCCGAACGCGGCACGTCTTACCCGAAACGCAACGGTGGACAGCGTCGTTGCTGGTTCGTGAGCCGTGGCGTGTGCGTGTTGCAGGGCGTGGGGGATGGAGCTTGAGCAAAACAAGTTTACTAAGCTACTAATAATCTTCCGCGGCTGCTAGGGTCAATGGTGACTGCAGGATTCTCAATCTCTTGTATTAATTCAGCTGCATGGCGACTGTAAAGTACTAATCTCTTTTACCAATTCTCATATTTGTCTCCGTAGTACGGAGTGCGACTGTGTGATGAACGGACGCATCCCAAAAAAGTCCCCCGCAAATTTCTACCCCAAGGTCACATCAGGGTTTCCCCGATTAGTGATCCCCAGTGTCGCCAACAGTGATACCCTGAAGTTACCGCACTCCGAAGTTCATTTCGTTGTCACACTGAGGTGACCCACAGCGGTGACCCACATGTTACCCACGAGTCACCCCCCGAAAAGTTGGGGCCCAATTGCGGGCGTTCCCGCTTCTCGCTGACCCAACTCAAACGCGAGCCGCATCCGCGCTGTAAAATTCATCGCTTTTAGTCGAAATGTTTCCTACAGCGCAATATATTATTTTGAGGTTATATACTCCGCGTACAAACAACTCATTCGATATAACCCCAACTATATTAATGATAATAATAATAGCGAGAACCTTTGCTTTGGGGGTTGGGCTTTTAATTGCCAGTATATTATGTTTGCAAACACATTATACCAATAGAGCGTGGCATCCCAAGGCTATGCATAAACAAAAGTACAGTGAAGCAATTCATCATTTTGCAGATTCCTGTGAACATCCGAAAAAACATATCCCAAGATACAGCAAAACACTAGGAAGTGGCTGACAAAGTTGCAGATCTGGAATATAACGTGTGATACCTGGAAGTCATGGGAAACGGGGAAACGAGGTTAGGGCTCGTCATGTCAAGAGCTCGCTAAGAAAAGCAGAAACAAACACAGAACAAAATTAGCAATAAACGACTTACCAAGAAGTGTCTTGACACAGTAGGAGGCTCGCCACGGAAAGTAGCCTACACGAAAAAGTGATTCGGAAAAAAAAAAAATAGCATTCGCAAAAGCAACGCTTTAAGGCAACAAGTCCGTAGCACAAACAAGGACATAAGGAGCGCAGACAGAGTAAGACGGATGCCCGCCGTATGGTATTGACACAAAGTAAAACATGTGAATTACTGTAAAGTTGCTTAACCTCCAAACATGAGCGCCTGCCACGACGGAAGGCGATGCCTGCAAAGAAATACACATGGCCAGCGGAAACAATTAGCAACTGTCCCAAAAATAAATGTATTTGACATTGAAGCCTCTAATCGCCAGGTTGATTGGAAACGAAAAGAGCGACGAGAAACTAAGCTAGTTATAGTAACCCCATAGCAACTTAGTAATGACTAGAAAATTGAGTAGCGGATAATGCGGACATGGCGGCGAGCTAAGAGAAGTTTGAACTCGACAGCTTCACAACACAGAATAATGAGAGAGTTGGGCGAGATGTGGTTGTGAAATACATCCAAGGGAGCGACTGATTGTTGAAGTGACTTGGACAACTGTGATTGGTGCACGAATTCCTGGCTGCCACCTAGCGAAACCCATCAATAGAACCTCAATATGGAGAGTCTCGATAGTCTGACCTTTAAATCATCGTTGAACATAGCTGCTGTTGCGAAAACGTGTACAGTGCCTGGGGTCAGCTTTGGTTGCCGAAACAGTGAGAACAAACCATGTGAGCAGGCTCGATCCGAAGCTGTGGGGGTAGCCCCTGGGTTACAACGAACTGGAGCTCTCCCCTGATTGGTCCGCTCCCATCTCTCAAAATCCCAATCGCGAGAATCACCACTTCGCAGCGATCGCCAGCCCTCTGGGGTAACCTACGGGAAAGTGGGTGGGAACATCAGGGTTACCCCCCGAGTGTGACCTGGGGGTATCCCACGCTTTCCTGCCGATTTGGGCCTCGTGATTTTTCGGATGCGTGCGAACAACCACCCGAGAAAAGCGCTGAGTGAAACGCAGGAAATCGGACGGTTGGTTGGTGTGAGGGTGTGGGTTGCTCCATGTATTTAGGGTCGTCTTCTTTACCTAATGTTGCCACCTATAACGAACCGAAACGTTTTGGATATCTGCAAAACAATCTGAACCGCACAGCAGTGTCGGCGTTCTTTGACACTAAGCCTCGAAGAAATTGAAGACTTCGGCTGACCAGTGTGATTGGTGGGGGAAAGGCGCGACGGCGCAGAGATTAACGCGTTACAGTGAAACGCCCGACAGAGGGTTCTGTCCGTATTTTCTCAAACTTTAACATGTTACACCCTTTGGCCTAATTAGCTATGTGTAGTTTAGTATGAAATGTGGGTGACGACTTTGAAGATAGACGTGTTTGCAAAATTGACGATTATTTAATAAAATTAATAATTTCATACTGTGGAAAACATACCAACACCATTTACAGCGTGCAAGCGTGAACGTTGGAAGTAATTTGTTGTGGGACAAGCATATATGATATAGGATACGAAACAGGCTCGAAACCCCAATTCCAGTTTCTGAAACTTATTTAATGGATACGGTATGAGTTTGGGAGGGAATCACGGCAATATTAAGCAACCCTGGAAGTTGGAACTAGTAACCCTAAACCCGTAACACTATCTCACACCCAATGCGACGACAACGTCGGTGCCTTTAAAGTGAAAAGTATGCTTGGAGGCAAGCCTTGTTTGGAGACAACGAGGACAAGGATCTAAGAATTGTCATGCCATCGGATTGGACCAAGAAATCTTTGAGTGTGAAACCTCAGAGGCGGTGATGGCGACTAAGAATGCGTTGGAACTTGGACGTGATGGTTGGGCTCATCGGTGCCAACAATTACGAGCACTTGTGTGTGATCGTGGCCCAAAAATGCATTGCTGGGATCGGTGTATGGATGGAGGAGGGACACGGAAGCCATGCTTTCCGTTAAGTTGCTTGTAAACAAGCGCAAGGGAGCGTAAAAATCGAGTATAAAACAAAAAAAAAAACAGCACTACCGCATTTATGATGTCATGCCGATACCGTATTTGAACGTGCATATCTTCTCAGCAATATCATTCGTATTCAAGTGAGGCACTAGCAAGTGATCTCCACACCCATGGCAGCTTGCCGGGAAGCAAGGGCTCTCTTTGAAAAGAAGTAGCGCGTGGGGGGTCGATTCTTGAGGCGCCTTAGCAAGTGCGGCAGTGAGAAGGCCAGCAACAGCAGCACTACCAGTGGCAGCATCAGCAGCAGCAGCTGCAGCAGATTTTGAGGTGCCTGGAAAGTAGATAGCGCCACCCCCACGGCTGCAGGGCCTGGAAATTCACAGGGTGGGTTGGTGCCTGTATGGTGGATGAGGAGAGGGAGGGAGGATGGGAGGAGGCGATGCATGTATAGGAGTGCTGCACATTGGAGGAGGAGTGCTGCACATTGGAGGAGTGCTGCACATTGGAGGAGGAGCGCTGCACATTGGAGGAGGAGCGCTGGGTATTTGTGGAGAGCAAGCAGGCATGCAAGCAAGGAGGATTTGGAGGACAGGAAAGAAAAGAAAATACAAGATGCGGCTTCGGATGGGCTAATGGCCGAAAAGAAACCTACACAAGCTGCGTTGTTGTGAAGGTTTGAATTGGCCGGTAACGTTGAAGGGGAGAGGGCTTTCAGTGGCCGCGGGTTCGTTGTAGTCCCCATCAGGCATGTCAAATGCCGTGGCATACAAGGTGGGAACCTTTCCCGTAAACTGGTTGCCTTCAAGGTCGCTGTGTTGGCAAGGGAAGGCGGGAGAGGAAGAGGTGGGAAGGCAGAGGAACCCCCACTCAGAGATGACATTTGCTCGTGGTGACGACCGAGGAGGGAACACTGACAGGATCTCGAGAACACGGAGCATGGTGATTGCTGCAGGTATCGTCCCTGCCAGGCAATTGTCATCAAGACTACTGAAGTTGGGTGGGTGATGGGAGATGGAGGGAAGGATTCGGGCCTCCAATCTCGTTTTTCATCCTACTCATTCTCTCAAAACCCTGGTACTTTGCAAAGAGAGGCAGGTGGAAAGAAGGCATGCAGAGGGGGAGAGTGAAGGGAGGATGTGCGCACAGCCTGGTGAGTGCGGTGAGGTGAGCAATGGCGGAGGGAATGGTGCCACTCAGGTTGTTGCCGTGGAGGTTCCTGCCATGCCATGGGATGCGATGGGAATGCGTGGGATGGATGGGGTGGGATGGGATGGGATGGATGGGATGGGATGGGATGGGATGGGATGGGATGGGATGGGGTGGGATGGGATGGGATGGGATGGGATGGGATGGGATGGGATGGGATGGGATGCGATGGGATGGGATGGGATGGGATGGGATGGGATGGGATGGGATGGGATGGGATGGGATGGGATGGGATGGGATGGGATGCGATGAGATGGGATGGGATGGGATGGGATGGGATGGGATGGGATGGGATGGGATGGGATGGGATAGGATGGGATGGGATGGGATGGGATGGGATGAGATGGTATGGGATGGGATGGGATGGGGTGGAATGGCATGGGATAGACGGCTAATGCCAAGGGAGCCCCAAATAGGAGCCATGACCTTTGCGTCGCTGCAGCTTGTATGTTTAGTAAACAAAATTTTATTTTATGCTTGCTTTGAAAAAACCATTGTGT